AAGGATGCTGTAAGGCACAGCCTGTGTCAGTACTCGTGGTTCAGTGTGTGCACAGCCCTGCTCTGGGCTCACCTCAGAAAAAAAAACCCTGCACCTCTTGTCCACAGTCAGCTCTTAAATTCATGAGGAACCTGATTCCCCTGGTGACCATGTGGCTCCTCTTTTCCTCTGACACAGCAGCAGTGCCTTGGAGAAGAGGATGTCTCTGAGGATCCCTGCAGATCCCCAGGAGGGGAAACTTGGGTTGAGTTGCTGCCAGCCCCAAAAAGCAGGAGCTGTGGGGCTGGGGGGCTGTCCTGTGCATCGTCCATCCCTCTCAGCCTGCTCTCTCCCCTTCCCCACAGGGCTCTGCCATCCCTCACAACACAAGGTAAAATGAACAAGATGAAAAACTTCAAGCGGAGGTTTTCACTCTCGGTTCCGCGGACAGAGACCATCGAGGAGTCACTGACAGAGTTCACAGAGCAGTTCAACCAGCTCAACAACCGGAGGAATGAAGGTAAGGAGCCCCCGGGGCCCTGCCGTGGGGCTGGGACTGGTCAGGAGTATCTGGGGTCAGCGCTGCCAACAAGCATCTCCACTCCAGCCCCACCAGCCTTTCTCTGGGTGTGTTGACGTGGAAAGTTACTGCCCCTTTGTCGGTGTTGCTCTCCCCATCTATCCAGCAGGATTAATTACACCTTGTCATTAAATATGATCCAAAGAGAGATTTATACTTGCATAAGGAAAACCTTATAGGAGGGAAAGGTATTTGGACAAAATGGAGAGGAATGACGCATCTGTGGTTAAGGTAGAGAGTGGGAAAGCATGGGATCTCCTCCTGCCTGCCCAAAAGTGGCAGTGCTCCTTGAGCCCTCTCCAGGGCTGTGGGCTGGCACTTCCACCAAGCCAAAGGTGCTGCTCTCTCTGTTCAGGGGAGCATCTGGGGCTCGATGAACCATCCTTTGCTCCTGGGCCCACAGTCTTCTCCTGGTGTGCAGTTCTTGAGGTCCCTGGGAGCAGGGAGGTTTAGGGTTAACACCTCTGTGAGCAGAAGGAGCCACATCCCTTCTGCAAACAGAGCAGCTGCCTCTCTGCAGGCTGGGGCAGGCTCTGCTGTCTCTGGCTATGGGCATATCAAGGGAGAGGCGATGCTGGAGGCATAAACCGGGAGCAGATCACGCCAAGGCGGCCGTGCATGGACAAGCAGGCAGAGCTGCTGACAGGGAGGCGTTTGCAAACCTGATAAAGGCAGACTTGATTCATCCAGGGGTAAATTCGTGGCTGTGGGTGCAAGGCTGAAC